CTTCACCATCTACACCTCAGACTTCACACACGACACACACAGCTGTCACCTGCAGAAGTTCTCCGACGACTCCGCCATCGTGGGCTGTGTGTCTGAGGGGAACGAACTGGAATATCGGTCGGTTATCAAGGACTTTGTCGACTGGTGTGAGTGCAACCACTTGTGCTTGAACACCAGTAAGACCAAGGAGATGGTCATCGACTTCAGGAGAAAACCACTTTCCCACACGCTGCTGAACATCCAGGGGGAGGACATTGAGCTGGCGGACAGCTTCAAGTACCTGTGTGTTCACATTAACAATAAACTGGACTGGTCCATAATACAAACGCTCTGCACAAGAAGGGCCAAAGTCGCCTCTTCCTTCTGAGGAGGCTGAGGTCCTTCTGAGGAGGCTGAGGTCCTTCTGAGGAGGCTGAGGTCCTTCTGAGGAGGCTGAGGTCCATCTGAGGAGGCTGAGGTCCATCTGAGGAGGCTGAGGTCCTTCTGAGGAGGCTGAGGTCCTTCTGAGGAGGCTGAGGTCCTTCTGAGGAGGCTGAGGTCCTTCTGAGGAGGCTGAGGTCCTTCTGAGGAGGCTGAGGTCCTTCTGAGGAGGCTGAGGTCCTTCTGAGGAGGCTGAGGTCCTACTGAGGAGGCTGAGGTCCTTCTGAGGAGGCTGAGGTCCTTCGGAGGAGGCTGAGGTCCTTCTGAGGAGGCTGAGGTCCTTCTGAGGAGGCTGAGGTCCTTCGGAGGAGGCTGAGGTCCTTCGGAGTCAGCAGGCCTCTGCTCAGGACTTTTTATGACTCTGTGGTAGCTTCTGCCATTTACTACGCTGCCGTGTGCTGGGCCCCGGGCAGCACAGAGCGGGACAGAAACAGACTGAACAAGCTGGTCAGGAGGAGGTGAGGGACAGGAGGCCCCTGGACTCTGTGGAGGAGGTGAGGGACAGGAGGCCCTGGAGGAGGCCCTGGACTCTGTGGAGGAGGTGAGGGACAGGAGGCCCCTGGACTCTGTGGAGGAGGTGAGGGACAGGAGGCCCCTGGACTCGTGGGACTCTGTGGAGGAGGTGAGGGACAGGAGGCCCCTGGACTCTGTGGAGGAGGTGAGGGACAGGAGGTGCTAGCCAAAGCCACCTCCATCATGGACAACACCTCCCACTGCACAGGACTGTAGAGGAGCTGAGGAGCTCCTTCAGTGGAAGACTGAGGCACCCTCAGTGTAGGAAGGAGCGCTACCGCAGGGCCTTTATCCCCACCGCTGTCAGACTGTACAATAAGTCACTTTAAATGATCACTGTGTGAAAACCTGCACTACTATTGACACTGTTTCCAATGGACACTTGTCACTTTTGTTGTACATAATTATTGTCACTTTATTGTACATATATCCTGCATGTAACATGTTTGCACATTTCCTCCTTTTGCACAATCTGAGTGTTCTATCCATGCCAAATGTGACATGTACATTTCTCCTGTGAGATAACTAAAGCAATCTTATCTTATCTTAGCTGACAGAATTACACGCTCAAGATCACAGGTTTCTAAATGTTAAACTAAAAGAATACTATTGTTGTCTTTAGGAAAAAAGAGACTGTTTTGCATTTGCAGTCACCGGCTTCAAAACAAGGAAAGACAAAACCTCACACTAAGAGTAAAATAAAAGTATTTTTCAGTGATTCTTCCTCATTTTCCTCATTTTCCTTCGGCTTCATTGTTTATCTGCAGCTTATTAAACACAAAACGTGAAAATAAATGCGTTTCCACTTTCTGTTTGGAGAAATATTCAGCGGTTTATTCTCGTTCTCGTTTATATTCATGTTTCTGATTCCAAAACCCCGGCGACGGAGGATGTAGTTTAATTCTGCTCATCTGTGTCGAGTGTCTGCACTTATCTGTAACAAGGTGCATTAACGCCTCGGTGTGAAGACCCGCGCTCTGGGGTCATTTAACCGTGGAAACCATTTTGTACGGACTCAAATCCTCAGGTTTTTCCAGTGAGTTATAGAACCTCATCAGTGTTGGGTCGGATCAGGAGCAGGCGGTGAAGGGCAGGAGTGTGGGCGCTCACAGCTAGAAGGTCTGTGTAGGTTTTCTCCAGGTGCTCCGGTTTATTCTTCGACATGTTCAATAGGTCAGAGTGTACAGTAATAATACATTTCATTTTCATTCCATTTCATTCATTTTCATTCATTTTCATTCATTCTCATTCATTTTCATCATTTTTTCCCACAATATTTGAATATATGCAAAAACAGAGATCTCCATTTAGAAATGTTGTCCAAATATTGTGTTCCTCGAGTTACAACCTTCAAGATTGTTGTGGAAGAAAAAAATCTATAAAAAAACTACTTAAAAAGAGCAGATTGTAAGTTCTTCCTGTCACGGTTCAATCCAGAACTGAAAAACTAGACAAGACAAAGTGGAAGAGACAATTATATACACACAGGGACACACAGGGTATATATACACACAGGGCATAAATACACACAGGGCATAAATACACACAGGGTATATATACACACAGGGACACACAGGGCATAAATACACACAGGGGCACACAGGGTATATATACACACAGGGTATATACAGTATACACACAGGGACATACAGGGTATATATACACACAGGGATACACAGGCCATATATATATACACACAGGGACACACAGGGTATATATACACACAGGGACACACAGGGTATAAATACACACAGGGTATATACACACACAGGCTATATATATATACACACAGGGACACACAGGGTATATATACACACAGGGACACGCAGGGTATATATACACACAGGGACACACAGGGTATATATACACACAGGGACACACAGGGTATATATACACACAGGGACACACAGAGTATATATACACACAGGGTATATATACACACAGAGACACACAGGGTATATATACACACAGGGACATACAGGGTATATATACACACAGAGACACACAGGCTATATATATATACACACAGGGACACACATGGTATATATATATATATACACACAGGGACACACAGGGTATATATACACACAGGGTATAAATACACACAGGGACACACAGGGTATATATACACACAGGGTATATACACACACAGGGTATATACACACATAGGGTATATATACACACAGGGACACACAAGGTATATATACACACAGGGTATATATACACACAGGGACACACGGGGTATATATACACACACAGGGTATATATACACACAGGGTATATATACACACAGGGACACACAGGATATATATACACACAGGGTATATATACACACACAGGGTATATATACACACAGGGACACACAGGATATATATACACACAGGGTATATATACACACAGGGACACACGGGTGGATCACATTAGTGTCAAAACACCAAGACAATTTCGACATGTTTCCACTGACACTGAACTGTTTTTGTACATAAACTATTCTTCTAATGTCAAGTCTCACTGGAGGTGGATGAAGTCTGCGGGATGTATCTGCAAAACACTCATTTCAACCCATTGGAAATGAGTTGACACTGGGAGAACATGCAAACTCCGCTCAGGAAAACGTGATTCAAACTTGCTGTGAAGCGAGACTGCTAACCACTCAACAACAACATCCGCTCATTTGTATTGTTATTTGAACCAAAGATTCCGCAGGTTCTTTCAGAAGTCCCAGTTTGATCTCAAATCTGGAACAATCTTCCTGAAAATGTGAGACAGGCTTCTTCTACGGCGATGCTTAAATCCAGGTTAAAAACAGGTCTATGAAGCTGCAGAGAACTGAGGGGTTTTATATTTTTTGTTTATTTCTTTTGACTTTTTGGGTCATTTTCCTCTCAGTAAACAAAAGCCTCGGACTGTGAATGTGTTTTTGAGTTTCAGACCTGGAGGTAACAGCTGATGTCGAGGTAATAGTATGAGTTTTATTGATCGTCTGTGAAACGTTTACGAGCTCATCGAGAGAAAAGGTAATAAACTGGATTCATAAAAGTGCAAAAATTGAGATATTGACCGTTATTGCAGCTTTAGACACAGCTTTGTCAGTCTGCTGCTTACAAGAAAAATACATCGTTTAGCTGAGAGTACGGAGCAGTTTTTAAAAGGTCTCAGTGAGAAACAGCAAGAAATGAAAGTGTTGGAGGCTCATGTTGTGTAGAGGATGGAAGCAGTGACGTGTCTGGACCAAACAGCTAAAGCAATGCATCATGGGATTCTGTCAAACCACCTCTGCTTCTTATAGAGAGTAATTAACACGGTACAGATCCTTCGTGTGACGTCTGCTCAGGACAGATGCGTAAGAACATGAGTTTATTGTTACTCACAGATGTACGAAGATCACAGGACGGTTTTAAAGTAGGAGAAATGTTTGTGTGAGTCTTTTCAGTTCTTTAAGGCTTTGATACTAAGGAAATGGTTCACTCTGAATGAGGCCCGGAGACTGGAATCCAAGTCCTGGTCTCGTCCCAGTCCCTTGGAGCGGGTCTGAATCCATTGCACACAAACGTAGGATTATTCATTTCCTCTGGACGCACATGTGGTCGCAGCAGCCCAGGGGCAGACTGATGTAAATGTGGCCCCTCCGACCACCACCAATCATGGAATCCATACACCAGAGTCATACTGGGCGTGTCCTGCCTTTCCAGCGGTCTCCCATCATCGTAACGACCAGGCACTCTCATGCTTAAAGGGACAGGTCATGTTTTCATTTCAAAGGACTTCTACTTCTTTCATTTCTGTCCCTAAACATGTGCCTCATATTTTTCTTTTCTGAACAAGAAACCAGTAAGTGTTGTACATTGTTGTGAATAAATCAGATCATATTTTCAGCATAAAAATCTAGTGACCTCAAAAATGCAGAACTGAAAACAACTGTTTATGACAAAAATGTACTTTGGTAAAGACTTAGGGTAGAAGGGAATCAGACTGAGGCGAGGATGGGAACTGGACAGGGGCAGGAGGAGGAGGAGGAAGGACAGAGGACAGGGCTGAAGGGGCTGCTGCTGGTCCTGGTGCTGGTCCTAGTGCTGCTGCTGGTCCTGGTGCTGGTCCTGGCTCAACAGAAAGGCACCGGAAAGTGGGAAAAAGTATGTGCAAAATATAACATCGAGAAATAACTGAAGGAAGCTGGGTTTAGAAACTGCATCTGGAGTCTGACGGTCTGATGGTGTTGGTTTGATGGTGTTGGTCTGATGGTGTTGGTCTGACGGTTTGATGGTGTTGGTCTGATGGTGTTGGTCTGACGGTTTGATGGTGTTGGTCTGATGGTGTTGGTCTGACGGTTTGATGGTGTTGGTCTGATGGTGTTGGTCTGATGGTGTTGGTCTGATGGTGTTGGTCTGACGGTGTTGGTTTGATGGTGTTGGTTTGATGGTGTTGGTCTGATGGTGTTGGTCTGACGGTGTTGGTCTGACGGTTTGATGGTGTTGGTCTGATGGTGTTGGTCTGATGGTGTTGGTCTGACGGTGTTGGTTTGATGGTGTTGGTCTGATGGTGTTGGTCTGATGGTGTTGGTCTGACGGTGTTGGTTTGATGGTGTTGGTCTGATGGTGTTGGTCTGACGGTGTTGGTTTGATGGTGTTGGTCTGATGGTGTTGGTCTGATGGTGTTGGTCTGATGGTGTTGGTCTGACGGTGTTGGTTTGATGGTGTTGGTCTGATGGTGTTGGTCTGATGGTGTTGGTCTGACGGTGTTGGTTTGATGGTGTTGGTCTGATGGTGTTGGTCTGACGGTGTTGGTCTGACGGTTTGATGGTGTTGGTCTGATGGTGTTGGTCTGATGGTGTTGGTCTGATGGTGTTGGTCTGACGGTCTGATGGTGTTGGTTTAATGGTGTTGGTTTAATGGTGTTGGTCTGATGGTGTTGGTCTGACGGTTTGATGGTGTTGGTTTAATGGTGTTGGTCTGATGGTATGAGCTCAGGTCAGTGTCATGGAAGAGGAGAGAGAAAGGCCCACAATCATATTATTATAAAATGGCTGGCTGAGATGGCTGAGAGCTGATTGGCTATGAAGGGGGGTCCTCCTTCCTTCACTTTTATGCCTGAAAAATCTGATCTAAAGCTGGGACTGAAACCAGTTAAAAACTACTGAGCCTCGGGTCTCAATCATATGTTCAGATATACCCACTGCACTTACACAACGACGGCTGGATTTAGTCCCGCTCCGGTCCCAGATTGCGGCCTCAGAATAGACCGCTTTGATTTCTCAGTCCGGCTTGATCAAAACCATATGAACAAAAATAACTAGATCTATATTTCGCATCATTAATAAGTCCGTGGAAAGCAGGTGGTTTTCACAAAGTCTGTAATTGGCTTTTTCTGATCTTGGCGCTGCAAAAATAGTGCTCATTTATTTGGTTTTCCGGGAAGGTTTTTTCAGTTCGTACGACATTCAATTACTTCTCATAACAAGGAGCTCATCTTTGAAAGAAAATAGCCCACATACAGTAAATCAGGCGATTGGATTCTGACAAACAAATTGATTGCGCCACTTAAAGAAGGGCCTGACAACTGGATTTGTTTTCATTTGACCCGGACCAGAGAAAAGCAGCATAATTGACGCTGGTCTGAAAATTGAAAACAAAGTGGTGCCTGTAATGGAAGAGCTATTTTTTGACCGTTGAAAACAAGAAATGAAATGGTGTTTTGGGTCTTAACAGCGGCGATAATAAAGTGCATATGTAACGACATGACCTACTGTAGTCGGTGACATTCGGAGGTAAACTTGTCACATACTTGCGTTGTCTTGTGTTTAAGCCGTGCGACACAAATTAAGAGTTTGTCTGCAAAAAACAGATATCTACGGTTTGAAAATGTGTCAACCCGGATGTTTATAGATGCTATTTTCAACATGTTTTGTCCATAGACTGTATTTATTAACGGACGTAGTCATGCCTCCGACGTTCTAACTAATGGGCTAAAAATTGGGCTTTCATGGAGTGATTCAAAATGGCCGCGGGGGCTGGAAAATGTGAAAAAACACATCTGTGCATGAGTCAGCTGCACGAGCCCCATTCATTTACACAAGTGACTTCTAAAGTCCACAGCGACTAAACTAGACTGGTCCAGAACACTCAGCATTGACACACATGTGGAACGGAGCTTTGGGCCAAGAGCCAACTTTTGGACCATCCTGTAAAGGTTGTTTTCCAGAGGTCTGCCAATGCTATATGTTAGCATTGGCTAATTCTTCTTCTGGGTCCACCCCCACAGGCCCGGGGTGGTATTGCAGCATGTCAGCGCACGTCATTTCGGACACTTTTGAGCCGGGACCCGCCCCCACTGGTATTGTCATTGGCAGTAAATTTGAAAGAATTAGCTCAAGAAGGGGAGAAACTTTAGTTGTTATATAAAATATATCTGGGTTTTCAGAAAATGACTTAGTTAAGAGCAAAATATAAGCCTTTCTGAAATGTGTCTAATGTCCTGTATCTGCTGTGTACTCATGATCTAACATATTCAGGCATTTTATTACCTGCTATTTCTGATAATTCACAGAGACTGTGTATTAGGCAATGCATTAACACATGATTAAATAAACAACAAATAGACTTTAGCAGAAATAAATTATCAAGTCTGAATCAAATCCTCATTTCCCATATGCCACGAGTCTGTGACATATGGAGGAGGTGTGCAGCCTCCTCCTCTGTCCCCACACTCGGGCCACACTTTTGGGGGTGATGTTGGAGAGAGTGACATGAGCAGACGTCTGGAGGAGAACGGACCCCTCTGTTTGGACCGTGCACCGCCCTCAGGCCCAAGGCTGGGGGTCAACGGCTCTTGTCCATCATTTGTCAAAACCTAAAGTCCTCGCTTCTGTTACGTCTGAACTTTATGAAGAAGAAAACACAATTCTATGACAAACAAGTCAATACAGAAGTCTTTTCTTTTATCACATTGTTTTAGATCAATATTGAGGATTAGAATCTGTCATAAAGCAGAACAAAAGAGTGTTACCACTTTGAGAATGCAACAGATAAGAAGAAATACTATATACTGTAAGAAATATAATAAACCACTATGGACAGCACAAAAAGGACAACCGTGACGTCGCTCAGTATGGCGCAGCCGGGGCCTCACCCTGGAGCCTGGAGCCTGGGGCCTGGGACCAGCTCCAAGGGACGAGGTGGACAGGCCCTCCTGTGGACCCACCACCCACAGAGGGGTCCGTGGCAGAGGACTGGGCTGCGGTCGAAGGCGGAGTCCTCTGCGACTCAGTCACACCCAACCGCACGCTCTGGGGACGTGGAACGTCACCTCACTGGGGGTAAGGGCCCGAGCTCGTGGGGGAGGTAGAGAGATACCGACTAGAGATAGTCGGCCTCAGCTCCACACACAGCTTGGGCTCTGAACCCAACTCCTCGAGAGGGGTTGGTTGCTCCACTTTTCTGGAGTTTCTCGCTGGGAGAGGCGGCGAGCGGGGGCCATACTCCCAAATCTCAGACACATGGAGTGTTGGAGTTCTCCCCGGTGAATGAGAGGGTCGCGTCCCTCCGCCTTCAGGTGGGGGACAAGTCTCTGACTGTTGCTGTGCCTACGGGCCCAACAGCAGTGCAGAGTGCCCGGCCTTCTTGGTGTCCCTGGGGGGTGTACTGGACGGTGCACTGCTCGGGTTTTTCCTCAAAAGAACATGTGAAAACTCAAAGTGACTCATGAATAAACTCTCACGGTTTGAAGCAGAACTTTTCTCCATTTTCCCAAAGCCTCAAACTGAAACTGAAACTGTACTTTATGTGAGGTGAGTTTTATATTTATTATTTTCTTTAGAATATTGTGCCACAGAGTCCATGTGAGGTTCTCCCGGTGCTGGTCGTTTAGCATGTCATGTATGTCATATTTATTTATATCTCACATTTCATGGACCAGGGTTTGTTCAGCTCCAGGAAAGGCACAAATCTGACAGAACGGAAAGAATATGTCATATGTAGATGTAAACTGTATAGAGTAAACTGTGTATAAACTGAATAGAGTAAACTGTATATAGACTGTATAAACTGTATATAGACTGTATAGAGTAGTAGAGTACAGTAGAATATACAGATTTGCAAATGCTGCGCTGCAGCGCGTCTGTGTTGAAACTGTTAGAACTGAATAAATTATCCAATGTCGACACAGATTTCAAATCATGTTAGAATCTCAGTAAAATGTGCCGCAATTTATGTGTTTTTTTTCCACATTGTTGCATCATATGACATTACGTAATGAGATCATGAAATTCTGTAAATTATATAATATCAGATTATGAAGGTGCGAAGACAAGAAACAAGAACAACACTCCACATGAACGCTGCATATACTGCATATATACCATATAAATATATATACCATGCATACTGTATATATACCATATATACTGCATATATACTATATATATATACCATATATACTGTATTTATAACAATATACCATTACATGCACCTGGACCTCAGACCTGTATAAGCTCCATATAATGACCTTACTGTTGAGGGAAAACCAACAGGTGCAGGTTTAACACAGACGTAGAGGATCCTCTGCAGACTCACACGGACTGATCCCCTGCAGACTCACACGGACTGATCCTCTGCAGACTCACACGGACTGATCCTCTGCAGACACACACGGACTGATCCTCTGCAGACTCACACGGACTGATCCTCTGCAGACACACATGGACTGATCCTCTGCAGACACACACGGACTGATCCTCTGCAGACTCACATGGACTGATCCTCTGCAGACACACATGGACTGATCCTCTGCAGACTCACATGGACTGATCCTCTGCAGACTCACACGGACTGATCCTCTGCAGACTCACACGGACTGATCCTCTGCAGACACACATGGACTGATCCTCTGCAGACTCACACGGACTGATCCTCTGCAGACACACACGGACTGATCCTCTGCAGACACACATGGACTGATCCTCTGCAGACACACATGGACTGATCCTCTGCAGACTCACACGGACTGATCCTCTGCAGACTCACATGGACTGATCCTCTGCAGACACACATGGACTGATCCTCTGCAGACACACACGGACTGATCCTCTGCAGACACACACGGACTGATCCTCTGCAGACTCACATGGACTGATCCTCTGCAGACTCACACGGACTGATCCTCTGCAGACTCACATGGACTGATCCTCTGCAGACACACATGGACTGATCCTCTGCAGACTCACACGGACTGATCCTCTGCAGACTCACATGGACTGATCCTCTGCAGACTCACATGGACTGATCCTCTGCAGACTCACATGGACTGATCCCCTGCAGACTCACATGGACTGATCCCCTGCAGACTCACATGGACTGATCCCCTGCAGACTCACATGGACTGATCCTCTGCAGACTCACATGGACTGATCCTCTGCAGACTCACACGGACTGATCCTCTGCAGACTCACATGGACTGATCCTCTGCAGACTCACATGGACTGATCCTCTGCAGACACACACGGACTGATCCTCTGCAGACTCACATGGACTGATCCTCTGCAGACTCACATGGACTGATCCTCTGCAGACTCACACGGACTGATCCTCTGCAGACTCACACGGACTGATCCTCTGCAGACACACACGGACTGATCCTCTGCAGACTCACACGGACTGATCCTCTGCAGACTCACACGGACTGATCCTCTGCAGACACACACGGACTGATCCTCTGCAGACACACACGGACTGATCCTCTGCAGACTCACACGGACTGATCCTCTGCAGACTCACACGGACTGATCCTCTGCAGACTCACACGGACTGATCCTCTGCAGACTCACATGGACTGATCCTCTGCAGACTCACATGGACTGATCCTCTGCAGACACACATGGACTGAGATGTGGCTAAACTTTATATTTGTTTATCGAATATTTACTTAAGCTGAGAGATAGTAATTATGTAGGAGAGTAGGCGCAGATTCCTTAGACCTCTGAAGCTCAGCAGGGCAGGGCCTGGTTAGTACCGTGATGGGAGACCTTTGGCGGCTGCGGCTGTAAAGTGCCAGACTGTGGTTGTGTCCTTCGTCCCCACACTGCCGAGCCTGGTGTGTGTGTGTGTTTGTGTGTGTGTGTGGTTGGTGGTGATGGTCGGAGATGGCACAGACTGGTGGCTTTGCTTCTGTCAGTGTGCCCCAGGGCAGCTGTGGCTACAGTAGGACTTTATCCTGTGTGAAGTGTTTTTGAGTGTCCAAAAAGCACTATATCAAACTGATGCATTATTATTCTTATGAGTTGAACCCGTGCCTTACTGTTAAGGCAGTGAGGCACGATTGTACATGATTGTACACTAGTGTGAGTCATCAGTGAGGCCTGTCCTAAATGTGTCTCCCACCTGTTCTGTTGGACTGTGGTCAAACACGCTCCGTCCCACACAAACACAGATCCTCGTGCCTCGTCAGCGCCCACCACAGCGTCCACAGCGTCCACACCGTCCACAGCGTCCACAGCGTCCACAGCGTCCACACCGTCCACAGCGTCCACACCGTCCACACCGTCCACAGCGTCCACAGCGTCCACAGCGTCCACACCGTCCACAGCGTCCACAGCGTCCACAGCGTCCACAGCGTCCACACCGTCCACAGCGTCCACAGCGTCCACACCGTCCACAGCGTCCACAGCGTCCACAGCGTCCACACCGTCCACAGCGTCCACAGCGTCCACAGCGTCCACAGCGTCCACACCGTCCACAGCGTCCACAGCGTCCACACTGTCCACAGCGTCCACACCGTCCACAGCGTCCACAGCGTCCACAGCGTCCACACCGTCCACACCGTCCACAGCGTCCACACCGTCCACAGCGTCCACAGCGTCCACACCGTCCACAGCGTCCACACCGTCCACAGCGTCCACACCGTCCACAGCGTCCACAGCGTCCACAGCGTCCACACCGTCCACAGCGTCCACAGCGTCCACACTGTCCACAGCGTCCACACCGTCCACAGCGTCCACAGCGTCCACAGCGTCCACACCGTCCACAGCGTCCACACCGTCCACAGCGTCCACAGCGTCCACAGCGTCCACACCGTCCACAGCGTCCACACCGTCCACAGCGTCCACAGCGTCCACAGCGTCCACAGCGTCCACAGCGTCCACACCGTCCACAGGGTCCACAGCGTCCACAGCGTCCACAGCGTCCACAGCGTCCACACCGTCCACAGCGTCCACAGCGTCCACACCGTCCACAGCGTCCACAGCGTCCACAGCGTCCACAGCGTCCACACCGTCCACAGCGTCCACACCGTCCACAGCGTCCACACCGTCCACAGCGTCCACAGCGTCCACAGCGTCCACACTGTCCACAGCGTCCACACCGTCCACAGCGTCCACAGCGTCCACAGCGTCCACACCGTCCACAGCGTCCACAGCGTCCACACCGTCCACAGCGTCCACAGCGTCCACACCGTCCACAGCGTCCACAGCGTCCACACCGTCCACAGCGTCCACACCGTCCACAGCGTCCACAGCGTCCACACCGTCCACAGCGTCCACACCGTCCACAGCGTCCACACCGTCCACAGCGTCCACAGCGTCCACACCGTCCACAGCGTCCACACCGTCCACACCGTCCACAGCGTCCACAGCGTCCACAGCGTCCACACCGTCCACAGCGTCCACAGCGTCCACACTGTCCACAGCGTCCACACCGTCCACAGCGTCCACAGCGTCCACAGCGTCCACACCGTCCACAGCGTCCACAGCGTCCACACCGTCCACAGCGTCCACAGCGTCCACAGCGTCCACACCGTCCACAGCGTCCACACTGTCCACAGCGTCCACACCGTCCACAGCGTCCACAGCGTCCACAGCGTCCACACCGTCCACAGCGTCCACACCGTCCACAGCGTCCACAGCGTCCACAGCGTCCACAGCGTCCACAGCGTCCACACCGTCCACAGCGTCCACACCGTCCACAGCGTCCACAGCGTCCACACCGTCCACAGCGTCCACAGCGTCCACAGCGTCCACACTGTCCACAGCGTCCACACCGTCCACAGCGTCCACAGCGTCCACACCGTCCACAGCGTCCACACCGTCCACAGCGTCCACAGCGTCCACAGCGTCCACACCGTCCACAGCGTCCACACCGTCCACAGCGTCCACAGCGTCCACAGCGTCCACAGCGTCCACAGCGTCCACACCGTCCACAGCGTCCACAGCGTCCACAGCGTCCACACTGTCCACAGCGTCCACACCGTCCACAGCGTCCACAGCGTCCACACCGTCCACAGCGTCCACAGCGTCCACACCGTCCACACCGTCCACAGCGTCCACACCGTCCACAGCGTCCACAGCGTCCACAGCGTCCACACCGTCCACAGCGTCCACAGCGTCCACAGCGTCCACAGCGTCCACAGCGTCCACAGCGTCCACACCGTCCACAGCGTCCACAGCGTCCACAGCGTCCACACTGTCCACAGCGTCCACACCGTCCACAGCGTCCACAGCGTCCACACCGTCCACAGCGTCCACACCGTCCACAGCGTCCACACCGTCCACAGCGTCCACAGCGTCCACAGCGTCCACACCGTCCACAGCGTCCACACCGTCCACACCGTCCACAGCGTCCACAGCGTCCACAGCGTCCACAGCGTCCACACCGTCCACAGCGTCCACAGCGTCCACAGCGTCCACACTGTCCACAGCGTCCACACCGTCCACAGCGTCCACAGCGTCCACAGCGTCCACACCGTCCACAGCGTCCACACCGTCCACAGCGTCCACAGCGTCCACACCGTCCACAGCGTCCACATGACTGGATCAGGTCAGACGTCCATGGAACCAAAAGTGGGGCAGAGCTTTGACTCATGACGACCAATTCAAATCTAGAATAAATGCTTGATTCAAGTGGTTTTTATCTGAATCTGACACATTCCGACCAACGTGGAGACACATCCATCACCGTGTGGAGAGAATGGAAAAAGATCTGAACTCTGAACAAAGTGCTTTGGGTGACCTTGGTCTGTAGAATGTGCTATATAAATAAACATTACTTACAAACCTACAATGGACAAAGACATTTAGTCCTATTTCTAGAACTGTTGCTTTATTCTCTCATTCTAAGGGACACATTTTTGTATCTTTTTGTTTTGTCCCGTTTGAGAATCTAGTTTTAAGGCTCAGTCAGACTGTGCTCAGATTTAGACACATTTTTCCAATTTTCATTTTTTTACTTATTTTTCCTCACTTTTGCAGTGTCCTTACTGTCTTTAGTTTGCTTCCCTGGGTTTGGGGAATTAAACATACAGAAAATCTATATATGATTATTTATGAGCCAATAGCAAACTACTGTACGTGTTAAATAGAGAAATGTTTTGCTTTTTCCTTTATCCCACAAGTTCCATTTAGCTCTTTTTGTGGCGACAGAAACGACCACATCCAGTTCATAACAAAAGGATTATGTCCAAAGAGCTTTAATCGGTTTAATCGGCCGAGTCAGGCTTTGGAGAATGGATCAGCGGCAAGTGGCTGAAGCGGAAACAAACACCCCGGGACATGTGACCCTCAACACCCCGGGACATGTGACCCTCAACACCCCGGGACATGTGACCCTCGACACCCCGGGACATGTGACCCTCAACACCCCGGGACATGTGACCCTCAACACCCCGGGACATGTGACCCTCGACACCCCGGGACATGTGACCCTCAACACCCCGGGACATGTGACCCTCAACACCCCGGGACATGTGACCCTCAACACCCCGGGACATGTGACCCTCAACACCCCGGGACATGTGACCCTCAACACCCCAAGACGGAGGCTCAGGGAAGTTTCTGGTGGAAAAGCCTTGATTGCATTATTATTGTTAATGTAGCAATATGTAAAATAGGGCCCTAATCTGTCATCATTAAAGGGCCCTAATCTGTCGTCATTAAAGGGCCCTAATCTGTCGTCATTAAAGGGCCCTAATCTGTCGTCATTAAAGGGCCCTAATCTGTCATCATTAAAGGGCCCTAAACTGTCGTCATTAAAGGGCCCTAATCTGTCATCATTAAAGGGCCCTAATCTGTCATCATTAAAGGGCCCTAATCTGTCGTCATTAAAGGGCCCTAATCTGTCATCATTAAAGGGCCCTAATCTGTCGTCATTAAAGGGCCCTAATCTGTCATCATTAAAGGGCCCTAATTTGTTGTCATTAAAGGGCCCTAATCTGTCGTCATTAAAGGGCCCTAATCTGTCATCATTAAAGGGCCCTAATCTGTCGTCATTAAAGGGCCCTAATCTGTCATCATTAAAGGGCCCTAATCTGTCATAATAATAAACTGCTCTTTTCCAATACTTCTTTAACTGATACAGTAGTTCAGAGATATTTGAATTTCTAAATTACTTTTACTCTAAATCTTATTATTGTTTTCATGGGTGACAGTAGCTCAGTTGGTAGAGCATTGGCCTTCAGGCCTGAAGGTTGTGGGTTCAATTCCCACCTCTGCACCTTCTCCATCGACTCCCACTGATGACTGCTGTCGTTGTGTCCTTGGGCAAGACACTTAACCCCACTTTGCCCAAAGCCCCCACTGAAAGATCAAGGCTATGCTCACAGTCAGAGAGCAGCCGTCCTCCTGTGGACTCACCACCTGCAGAGGGTCAGTGAGGGGCTGGTGCATCTCTGACTGCCACCCCCCTGACCCAGAAAAGGATTAAAGGGAAGAAAATGGATGGATGGATGTATTTTGAAATGTGTTGTGTCTTCTTTGGTTGCTCTTCCTGTGTGACTTCCTGCCCCGCCCTCATGTGTCTCACCTGTGTCTCGTTCATTCACGTCCTGTTCTGTCATTGTCATTCCTCGTCTGTTTCAGTTCTTGTTCTAGGTCCCTTTGTTTTTGGATCTTTTTATTAAATCCATATTTTTTTGCATGTTGGGTCTCATTTAATTTTACCCACGTGACAAAAACTATGATGCTCTCTGCTTTTGTTTGTGTCATTGTTTAAAAGTTTTAATCTGGAGCCTAGTGTTTTAATCAGCACTGGCCTCTCGGTGCACGGACGGCAACATGTAAAAACATCATGTACATCAACGAATGTAAATATTGTAAATTATTATTAATGTAAAATGGAATGAATGAATAAGATCTACTTTTAAGTCAGACTCGAGCTTTTTGTGAAATAAACAATATTCTGTTGTTTTGTTGCTGCCAAAGTAAAGTATTAATTCATCCATCAATCAACTGAAAATGTGTGTGTATATATGTGTGTGTATATGTGTGTGTGTATATGTGTGTGTATATATGTGTGTGTGTATATGTGTGTGTGTATATGTGTGTGTATATATGTGTGTGTGTATATGTGTGTGTGTATATGTCTGTGTGTATATGTGTGTGTGTATATGTGTGTGTGTATATGTCTGTGTGTATATGTGTGTGTGTATATGTGTGTGTGTATATGTCTGTGTGTATATGTGTGTGTGTATATGTGTGTGTGTATATGTGTGTGTGTATATGTCTGTGTGTATATGTCTGTGTGTATATGTGTGTATAAGTTGTGTGTATACGTTTGTGCAGCACTGAGCTCTGTCTCTGACAAACTGCAGCAGCTCATCTCTGAAGTCAAACCCAGAGAGACTCCTGAGATGACTGAGAGTAACCTGCTCTTGATGTGAGAGAGTTCCCCGGCTCTCTACTGCCCCCCTCTGGCCAACACGGACATAGCCTCACTTCCGGTTGTCCTCTTCATTTGTATTCCACCGGTGTCGACCCCATCCATTTGTCTGTGTTTTTTCTTTTCAAACATGGCATGGAACAGGCGTGCACTGGGTCTAATAAGTGCACACGAGCTTTCAAAGATCAATCCCACAGAACAACAACATGAGCTTAGGTTTTTGATGCAGAGGGAGCGACTGTGGCCGTGACAGAGCTGCAGAGAAGAGATACAAGAACATAATTGTTTGCATTGATTTGGAAATGAGCTGCAAACCAAACTGCTCCTGCAAAAGGGAGAGAAGACTGTGGAAGCAAAGATGCAGTTACAACTTTATACAAATGTGCAACATTGGAGTCACATGTTTGATTCCACATTCTCCACATTCTCCACATCTGAGCACTACTGTACGCATGCACGAGGAAACCTGCACATTTAAACTCTGCATTATGTTCAGTGATGTTTTCAGATTCAGATTACTTTCTTTATCCCACCACGGGCAATTCCTTTGAGGAGAACTTTAAAAAAAACAAAAACATAGTGGGTCTCTCTGCACATATGACACACATCTGTACATTTCTGCAGAGTGAGATCATCATGTCGTGGAATCGTGTCTATTTTCATGTTTATTCCTGTTGCATGGCACTAATCTGCTCTAATAACTTATTTTCTTTCATTCACACGCTCTTCCTCCTGTGTTTTTTTCCTTCATCATGCCTTCCCCATGTGTTTGCACACGTAGCACACGGATCACACGTAGCGCTGAGGTGTGGTGCTTTCTCCACAGACTGCACAAAACCAGGGAGGGTTTTCTCGTTGTCACCGGCTTTTCCTTCAGGCTGTGGATGATTCGAGACACAGCAGTGACACAGCATCTCTCCCTCTCTCCCTCCTCCAGGTTCAACCTCTCCACCACCGGAAGTTGCCGATTTGGTAAAGGTAAAACAACGAAATGCTTGCGTCCTGGAGCTTGGTGTTGAACCAAAACACAAACACATTTCAGTCTCTGCAGCAAACTCTCCATGTTTCTTAAAATGTACGACTGACTTTACACGTGTTGCTTTCTCCGCACGTGCTGTGGACGCCTCAGTGACTTCTACAGATACAGTATGTGTTCTGAACAAACCCAGTATATCGGCCAGAGCAGTGCAGAGTGGGAGGAAGGAGGATATGGTAGTAAGTAGTAGTAAGTAGTAAGTAATCTTTATTTTTATACCGCCTTTTCACTGCAGATCTGAGTCTCAAAGCGGTTTACAATTGTTCATTTTTGGGCATTTGTCTCTCACTCCACACAGAGATGGGAGCAGGGTCGCCAGTACAGGAGGCACATGCTAGGACTATTGGACATATTTTTAGTGGTAGGGGAAACCGGAGTACCCGGAGGAAACCTACGCAGACACGGGGAGAACATGCAAACTCCACTCAGAAAGGCCCTGGTCCGACCGGGATTCGAACCCAGGACCTTCTTGCTGAGAGGCGAGAGTGCTATCCACTCAGCCACTCAGTTAGACTACTGCAATGGCCTGCTCACAGGTCTGTCCAAACAGGCTGTAAAACAGAAGTACGACCACATTAGTCCTGACTAGAACCAGGAAGTACGACCACATTAGTCCTGACTAGAACCAGGAAGTACGACCACATTAGTCCTGACTAGAACCAGGAAGTACGACCACATTAGTCCTGACTAGAACCAGGAAGTACGACCACATTAGTCCTGACTAGAACCAGGAAGTACGACCACATTAGTCCTGACTAGAACCAGGAAGTACGACCACATTAGTCCTGACTAGAACCAGGAAGTACGACCACATTAGTCCTGACTAGAACCAGGAAGTACGACCACATTAGTCCTGACTAGAACCAGGAAGTACGACCATATTAGTCCTGACTAGAACCAGGAAGTACGACCACATTAGTCCTGACTAGAACCAGGAAGTACGACCATATTAGTCCTGACTAGAACCAGGAAGTACGACCACATTAGTCCTGACTAGAACCAGGAAGTACGACCATATTAGTCCTGACTAGAACCAGGAAGTACGACCACATTAGTCCTGACTAGAACCAGGAAGTACGACCACATTAGTCCTGACTAGAACCAGGAAGTACGACCACATTAGTCCTGACTAGAACCAGGAAGTACGACCACATTAGTCCTGACTAGAACCAGGAAGTACGACCACATTAGTCCTGACTAGAACCAGGAAGTACGACCACATTAGTCCTGACTAGAACCAGGAAGTACGACCACATTAGTCCTGACTAGAACCAGGAAGTACGACCACATTAGTCCTGACTAGAACCAGGAAGTACGACCACATTAGTCCTGACTAGAACCAGGAAGTACGACCACATTAGTCCTGACTAGAACCAGGAAGTACGACCATATTAGTCCTGACTAGAACCAGGAAGTACGACCACATTAGTCCTGACTAGAACCAGGAAGTACGACCACATTAGTCCTGACTAGAACCAGGAAGTACGACCACATTAGTCCTGACTAGAACCAGGAAGTACGACCATATTAGTCCTGACTAGAACCAGGAAGTACGACCACATTAGTCCTGACTAGAACCAGGAAGTACGACCACATTAGTCCTGACTAGAACCAGGAAGTACGACCACATTAGTCCTGACTAGAACCAGGAAGTACGACCATATTAGTCCTGACTAGAACCAGGAAGTACGACCACATTAGTCCTGACTAGAACCAGGAAGTACGACCACATTAGTCCTGACTAGAACCAGGAAGTACGACCACATTAGTCCTGACTAGAACCAGGAAGTACGACCACATTAGTCCTGACTAGAACCAGGAAGTACGACCACATTAGTCCTGACTAGAACCAGGAAGTACGACCACATTAGTCCTGACTAGAACCAGGAAGTACGACCACATTAGTCCTGACTAGAACCAGGAAGTACGACCACATTAGTCCTGACTAGAACCAGGAAGTACGACCACATTAGTCCTGACTAGAACCAGGAAGTACGACCACATTAGTCCTGACTAGAACCAGGAAGTACGACCACATTAGTCCTGACTAGAACCAGGAAGTACGACCATATTAGTCCTGACTAGAACCAGGAAGTACGACC